TGGGCAGCCTGTTCCAGGGCTCTGTCACCCTCACCGTGAAGAAGTTTCTCCTCATATTTGAGTGGAACCTCTTATGTTCTAAGCAGTTCTAATTTAAGACAAATTTTCTTCTTCTGCACAAAAATGAAGGCAAGCAAGCTTTGCCTGCAGGGCGTTTAGGTTAGGATGGGGTGAAGGACTAGTCCCCGTGGCTGGGTCCTTGCAGAGCCCTGCGGTGGGGCCGGCGCTGGAAAAATAAATGGAAATAGTGGAAATGCCAATGTAGAGAAGAACGTGAGCGCCGAGGGTGCGGTGTGGGCAGCCAGGAGGGGAACTGGGAGTGAACTTTCCCAATGGTAATCAAGGAAATTCCCGCACGCACGCACGGCTGGAAAGCTGGAAAGAAACCGTGATTCCCTCTAGCAAGAGAATGCATGAAAAAGGGCCACTGCTGGTAATCAAAGAATGATTCAATTTCTGGGAGAGTTAATTCAGTTCAGATGACTTCTGCAGTTACTTCAGAGCAGGCAAAACAGGGAAACTTCCCCGCCATGCGATGGCTTTTTCTCACACAACCCTCCAGATGGTTTCAGACCTCTGTGACTCGCTGGGAAGGTCAGCTGTGTCCCCATGTGTGTTTGGTTATTAGGCCTTTCAGTTGGGGCTTCATCTTATTTACATTATCCGCCTTCTTTTCGTCAGTCCAATGTGTTAATTGCATGCTCCGGCGATCGGGGTTTGGGGTAGAGAGGAGGGAGCCCCAGGCCTTTTTCCTGATTTTGCCTCTTTTTAAGGGAAAACCTCCTGGAGTCGGGGTGGGTGTCCCCTCCCGCGTACGTCCTCGCGTGTGCGCACGCGTGTTCTTACGTGTGCCTCCCCTCCCGTCTGCACAGCGAGGTTATCGGTGCTTATTTCCTTTGTAAAAGGCACCGAGATGATTATTAATTATGAAAATAACAGCACAGGTCCACCTGTTGCCCAAAGGCATCATCGTAATTGCCGAGGCGAGGGCTGTGCTGCGCTCGTGCGCGAGCTCTTTCGAGCGGCCACGCTTCTGTTTGCTTTAATGGCCGAGCACTTGGTATTTTCCCATTGCTCGCCTGCAATCTGTTTGTTTTACCCTTCGCTGTCAAATCGATGTAACGAAGGGATCGTTAAGCAGAGGTTAGCAGATGACATCAGCCATCGATCTGGGCAGAGAGGCGGCGGCGGTGGGTGCTTTCTCCCCGCGGGGGGGGGGGAAAGGCAAAGCGGTTCCGAGGAAGCGGCGTCGGCTCCGGAGCATCCCCACATGGAGGGAAGCTCAGGAAAAATCCCAAATACACCCCCCTGGGAGCAGTGAAGATGTGGTGGTTGCTGAGTGCACCATCGTGCCTCAGTCCACGCGGAGCTGTGGTGTTGTAAAAGGGTATGTTGTGTTATTAAATAAATCCCACTGAGGTGCCAGCATCCTTCAGATGGGAGATTGCAATAAACTTTGCAAAGCGTGTGGGTGTTCTCACAGCACCCTGGGTGTCTCGGCTGGGTTTGGCCCCCACAGTCCTGTTAGCAGTGCTGTAATACCTTTAGAAAAGGTTGCTGATTAAAAGTCTGGAAAAGGGAGCCTGATTAAGGCTGTTGGAGAAGATGAAGGGGGACGGCTTCCCGGTTAAAGATCAGATCTGAGAACCCCAAGGTCTTTTATCTGTCCTCATCTCTGGTGCAGATGGCTCGGGTGACCTTGTGGATGCCATTTAATTGCTCTGTGCCTCTGTGAGAAGGCAGCGAGCTAACCTTTGTACTTTGTGAAGCCAATTGTGAGGTAAAAGGCATTTATTTCAGATGTTTGTCCACCACTTGGGATTATTTGTCTGAAAGGGGCGATTGTGTAGAGGACCCAACTGACTCTACGTCGCTTAGAAGTTGTTTGTGTGATCATCTGATTATGGTGTTTTCCTTGGAAAGATAAAGGCCTCGATCCGGAGAAATGTTTCAGCCCATGCTTCGCTGTAAGTCTGTGGGAGTGCTCACGTGTTGGTGGCTGGTGCTTGTGACCGGCGAAAATACGTCACTGTGAGGAATGACGGGGTCAGAGCTCTCATCTCCTCCCACGGGCTTTGTCTTTCTCGGTTCTCACTCTTGCTACCACTCGTTCACCACCACTAAGGTTTCTCTTAGGAGTTTCAAAAAGGTTTCTGGCTCTCTTGGCTGGCATGAAGTTTAGTGGAGACCCAGTGAGCCAAAGCCCGTGCCCATGACCCCGCGCTCTGGGATGCCCTCCTGGGTAGCCACCATCCATCGCGTCCCACTGCTGCCCATATCCCATGAGATGACATCCTTCTCATCCCACTCCTGCCCATATCCCATGAGATGGCATCCTTCACACCCCACTGCTGCCCACATCCCATGAGATGACATCCTTCTCATCCCACTGCTGCCTGTATCCCATGAGATGACATCCTTCACACCCCACTGCTGCTCACATCCCATGAGATGGCATCCTTCACACCCCACTGCTGCTCACATCCCATGAGATGGCATCCTTCACACCCCACTGCTGCCCACATCCCATGAGATGGCATCCTTCACATCCCACTCCTGTCCTTATCCCATGAGATGGCATCCTTCACATCCCACTCCTGCCCGTATCCCATGAGACAGTACTTAAACTGGTTGAATAACCCAGAGAGCGAGGCCTCGCTGTGTGACGTTCCCACTGGCAGGGCTGCTGCAGGAGAAGACAGCAGAGATGGTGGTGGCAGAGTCTGAGCAGATAGCACCACATCTTTGGTGGTAAAAAGGAGGTGGAATCAGCTTTCCACCTCTGATAATCATGAATTTAAGGAGATAAGAAGGTGGTTTCACAACTTCGTTTGCTCTGTGTGGTTCTTATAGCTGGAAGGCTGAGAGGGAGTCCCATCTGGATGGTGTGAGCCATGGCTGGAGTCACACCTGGCCAACAAGATCTGATTTTCATGGTGCTCAGTGCTGGTCCAGCAGCCTGGGCGAGCTGGGAGCTGCAGGGACCGGGGTGTCCCCACGCCCTGCGTCTCCCACAGCAGGCGAGGAAGCCTCCTGACGTCATGCCAAGGGAGGCTGATCACCTTTAATGAAGGTGGCTGGAGAAAGGACATAATTTTAGACCAAAGATTGCACTTTTATTTTAGGAATCCTTGCCAATGTCGTGCGGCTTATTCTGGCCAGCAATCACTAAGGACGTCCTGGAGCTGCGAGAGCCGCACATCAGCGGTGGTTCCTTGCTGAGATATCTATCACATACACACTGCAATCTGCTTTTCCTCTAATCTGATGCTAAAAGGACAGCTACAGCTTCCCAATAAAGAGATGGCATTTTACTTTAAAAGAAAAATGGAAGTAATGATTAAATATTGAAATTTAGATTCTGGTAAGAAAGAATTTGTTAATTGCAGACTGACGTTACAGATTTAAGGTTATTATTAGTTTATACCTTTTACCTGGAAAATATTTCCAGTTTGTAAAGGTGCATTTTGCTACGTTGCTGCATTTTGCCTTTTACTATGTAAGGGAAAAAAAAATTCATGATCACGCTGAAAATGTGAAAAAATATGCTTTTCAAAATCCATATGTGAATGCTCGCTTTGAAAATCCTCAGTCTCCGTAACAAGGAGGATTAAAACAAAGCAGAAACGGAGAAGAGACTCTGCTGCCTACTTTTGACTTATTTAAATATGCAGAGAGCTTCCTCCATTTTAATCTTCCTTATAGAAAGATGGCTGTGTTACTCAAGCTGGCAACCCCTCAGAAGCCAGCATCATTTTTCTGTCGTGCGGTTCAGCTGAGCAAGGCTAATGTGGAGTGGGGACCCCCTTCAGCCAACGAAGCAACCAGGAGGATTCATAATTCATAAGTGCTTCCAGCCATCCGGCTGAACACGCTCGGATTAGTCCTCGTTTCTTCGTGCAATCCCTGATTTCATTATTCTCTCCTGCGAGCAAATCCACCCACGTTCAGCCCGCTGCGAAGATGCTATGCCAAGCTTGGCTTTGTCTGGGATTAGCAACTGCCGGGCTTTTGGGGGGGTTTCTCTGGCTTTGAGGAACGCTGATTTTTTTTTTTATTGAGTGGGGAAGGGGGGTGTCCGGCTGCCCAAGGAGCTCCCTCTTTTCCTCTCCTCCTCTCTGACCGGCGATTTCTCCGGGAGGATTTGCAGACGGTGGCGTGGAGTTTTCCAAAATGCCTGAAGCAAACTATTTGTTATCTGTATCTTGGGGTTATATTAAGGTGGGTTTCAATCCTAAAGGCTTATAAATAAATGCCTGTTTCTTTGTGTTGCTGTATTGCTTGGATAAAACGTCTGTCAGGAAAAGATGCTTGTAAAGTGGTTATTTCTGTGCACTGTATGGCAAGAGATAAACATTTGTGTGTTCTGTGCATGCGGCGGACATGTATGTCCATTTTCTTTTTCTTCTCCTTTGGGAATTCAATGTTGCAGGATAAAATGATGCAGCGATGAAAATGTGTGATTAGAAAATCAGGAGGATGATAACGTGTGTATCTGGGTGAACAAATGCTGGAATCTTGCCTTTTACTGTAAAGATCCAAGCAGATCTTCAGATTTATGGCATGTTTCCCCTCTGCTCTGTTCTGAAGAAATGCAATTGTCTTTTACTTGCATAATTCAAAATGGAGCAAACTTACAAGACTCAGAACAAAAGAAGGTTATGGGATGTGGAATTTAAAACCGGTACAAGAATTTGATCTTTCAAAGAGATTACCTGAAACGTTATCATCTCATTTGTTACAGAAAAAAAAAAACCAAACCTAATAGGCATCTTTGGAGGAAATCCATTTTGTAGTTTTGTGTACTGAAAAGAAATATCTAGTCATGATGATGCTGAACAGTATCTAAATGAAACCATATGTCGCCGACTCCATTCCACATCTCTCCAGAAATTTGCTTTTAACGTCTTCTTTGTGGACTTGCTGGTGATAAAGCCGTATGAATTTGGAGAAGCACTGAGAAAAATGCCATCTTTCTGTTTGTGCTCTTCCCCTCCCAGTTCAAGAGGATGCTGAACCGGGAGCTGACACACCTTTCCGAGATGAGCCGCTCCGGCAACCAGGTGTCTGAGTACATTTCCAACACTTTCCTGGGTAAGGCGTCGCATCCCGAGCTCTCGGGTGACTCAAAGATAATGATTAATGGCAACCTAATACCCACCAGTCTTTACTTGTGCCCTGTTCTCCTTTAGGACAGAGCATTATTTAAACGTTTTGATTTTTCCCTTTTGAAATGGATACAGGGAGGGAAAATAACACAGTGTTTTAATAAGTCCATCCACCAAAGAATTCCCTCCGCAAATCCAAAGGTTTTCCTGGTCTGATTGAATTCAGCTATTGGTGGCTGCGTTATGCAATATATTTGATTTTTGTGTTGACCTTAAGGAAAGGACAAAGTCACACAAGCCCAACTGCATCCTCTCATCTTTGCAACTCCTGCCTCATACCAGCTGCATCTTCCCCCTTCAGAGGCAGGGTTCAAGACAAGCAGGTTGAGCCCAGACTTTTTATATATTATATATAATATAGATATATTTCATTTTGCATGGCAAGTCAGGATAAAGAGTGAAGAGAATATTCTGCATGTCATTAGTTGGAGCTCATAGAGCTACCGGCATGAATTAAGCCTCTGTGTTTACAAAATACACTTGTTACGGAAAATATAATTTTCAGTGGTTTTGAGCAGGTTTAGAATTTGGGGGTTTTTTTGCATATTAAATAAAGCTCTGCACAGGGCCCACATATACATATCTCTGAGTCTTCAAACGCTGCCTGTACGTGGGATGCTGGAGCTTGCAGGGGACTCGTGCCCTGCGGTTAAGATGTCCCAGACGGCGTTGGCTGCATGACACACAATTATTCCCATTAAGGGATTTTCAAGTGATTTCAATAGCCAGTTGCAACTGGAACTGCTGCCTGCACTTAAGGACACATCACATCATTAATAATCCATAGGAGTCTGGAGCTGCTTTGTGGGAATCCGTTGGCCCTGTCTTATCGCTGGGCTTTAACGGTGACATCCAGAACATGAATTAATAGAGGGAGGAGAAGCAAGACTTCCAGCTGCAGCCACTTCTTCACCCGGAGAGCCTGGGGCGTACACACAGCACGCTGGGGAGCGTGACCACTCTGGCATTTTCGGGGAGCTTGTTGTTCATCAGCTCTTGCCAGTGGGCACATGGCTCCGGAGCAGGATGCGCGGCAGAAATGCCCAGCGTGGCTTGGTACCGTGGGGCTGATAAACCAAAGAAACCACAGATACACACAGCACGCTGGGGAGCGTGACCACTCTGGCATTTTCGGGGAGCTTGTTGTTCATCAGCTCTTGCCAGTGGGCATATGGCTCCGGAGCAGGATGCACAGTAGAAATGCCCAGTGTGGCTTGGTACCGTGGGGCTGATAAACCAAAGAAACCACACATAGGCTCATGTCCAGTTTTGGGCACCTCAATCCAAGAGAGATCTCGAGGTGCTGGAGCGAGTGCAGAGAGGGCAACGAAGCTGGTGAGGGGGCTGGAAAACAAATCGTATGAGGAGCGGCTGAGGGAGTTGGGACTGTTTAGTGTGAGGAAGAGGAGGCTGAGGGGAGGGGAGGGGGTGGAGTCACCATCCCTGGCTGTGTTTAAGGGCCGTTTAGATGCAGTGCTGAGGGACATGGTGTAGGGGAGGACTTTGTAGAGTAGGGGAGATGGTTGGACTCAATGATCCCAAGGGTCTCTTCCAACCTCAATGATTCTATGATTCTATGAACTTAGTGGAGTCTATCTCAGCCAGGGCTAATTAGCCAAAGCTGTATTGTTATTCCCCTGCAGGGTGAGGGAACTGCATCCCCCTTCGCAGGTCTTGCCTATGGTCTCCTTCGTTCCCCTCCTGCTGCTTCTCACGTACTCTCTAGCGGTGACGTCCTCCCACGAGGGCCACCCAGCCACAAAGGGACGTCTGAACATGAGTGGTGCAGGCTCTCCAGATTGCAGCTTGATTGCTCATCTTCTAAAGAAATGAGTAAAGCTTTTAAGGGGATCTTAAAGCTTTTTTTTTTTTTAGGAAGTCATGCAGTTGCATTTTTATGAACGAACTTTTTTCTCCCCTAAAATTTGATTCAGTATTAAGTGAACACACAAAATGACAGGAGGCTACAACTGAGGAAGCTGGACAAACAAAAAGAAAGAAATATGTGGGTAGGACGTTCATTTCCATCCAAAGAGTGTTTGTTAGATAGGAGTAAATTACAGATATTAAAACCAGATCACATGACTTCGTTCAGTCTCTTGGCTTTATTAAATGGGCTGAGGAAGCACCAGGAGGCAATGATGTCCTCTGCAGAGGCAATGATGTCCTCTGTGGTCTGGTCTCCATTTGGTCAGCGAGAGCGAGGACATCAGCTTCAGATCCATAACAGATGGAAAAACAGTGGTTTTCCTGTTGGCCACATCATGTAAACAGGGAAAATCATGATGGCCTTTCCTAAGGGGTGAGGGATGTTGCAGCTGCCACCACCGTGGGGACGTGATTTAACAAATTAAAGATTCCTGTTCAAGAATGTCCATTTTACGCTGCCTTAGCGTTAGTCATTGCTAAGGAGATTACATAGAGGAAAGTCCTTCTGTTGTTCAGCAAAAACACACCAGGGAAACACCCACTGATGTCAGCTCGACTGTTGCTGTGAATAATGGCTTCCTTCTTAATTGCAGTGTTGCACACACACTGGTGGTTCTTATTTCGGAGATTTTTAATTAAGCCAAGGAAAAAGTAACTAATGCCTAGCTGCCTAGTTCCTCCAGAGATGCAAAGTCACAAAGAGGTTATAGTAGCCTTTTCTAAAAGTCCATGGAAAAAATGGTTAGTATGAAAGTCATGAGCCACTGTAGCTCCATTTTAATGCACCAAATAGATCAGTTGTAAAGGCAGTAAGTTGTATACGTGGATAGATTTGTTTATTAAAGATATCCCCACAGCCACTTTTGTGCCCCACAAGGCGCCTACTTAACGTGTACTAATATTGTTGCTATCTCTGAGCATGGCAATAGAAATATGGCCTGTGCATTGTATGTTATTCTGCACATATTTGTAAAGGCCAAACCTTTAATAAGTCAGTGACACCAGTTTGTTATTGGGCTGGTGTTTTAAGAGCAGGGGGTATGGAGATGGGTTTGGTCCTAATAACTATCAATAAGAAACACATGGGTTTGAACTCCTGTGCAGAGCCACTTAATTAGCAAATGATGCTGACTCGTTTCACCTTTATTTGTTACAGACAAGCAGAACGATGTGGAGATTCCTTCTCCCACCCAGAAAGACAGAGAGAAGAAGAAAAAACAGCAGCTCATGACGCAGATCAGCGGAGTGAAAAAATTAATGCATAGTTCAAGCTTAAATAACACCAGCATTTCACGATTTGGTGTGAAAACAGAAAAGGAAGACCATCTGGCTAAGGTATGACAGATTCTTGCAGTTCGGGGGGAATTTGAATTGTCTGGAGTAATGGATGGACTGCCCCCAACTTGTAGAATGGGAATGCTATCCCTGAAGTGACGTGGCCATTACAAATGCTGTAATTAATGCTGTAATGAATGATACCATATTCTATGGTCATAAATTCCGTGAAAATATCCTTAAATAATAAAAAAAAAAAAGTGGTGAAGGCTGAGGAGAGCAATTATCAACCACAGGAATGTGTAACAAGGCCATGTCCAGCAAACTGGCAGTGGGGCCTGTGGCTCTGTCAGGGCGTTTCTTCTTGCTACCTGGAAACACACATCCCTCATAATTCCCCTGTCACACAGAGGAGCATCATCTCCTTGTACGAGTTCTCTGTGTAACGCAGTTACTCTCTGTTCGTTTGCTTTATTAAGGGCACATGTTCATGCCCTTAACATAATTACTGTAATGGCCTGTATCAGGAGCAGCGTGGCGAGTAGGGCCCGAGAGGTGATTGTCCCCCTGTACTCGGCACTGGTGAGGCCTCACCTAGAGTGCTGTGTCCAGTTTTGGGCCCCCTACCATAAAAAAGACATTGAGGTGCTGGAGCGGGTCCAGAGAAGGGCAACAAAGATGGTGAGGGGTCTGGAGAATAAGTCTTATGAGGAGAGGCTGAGGGAGCTGGGGTTATTCAGCCTGGAGAAGAGGAGGCTGAGGGGAGACCTTATTGCTCTCTACAACTACCTGAAAGGAGGGTGTAGAGAGGTGGGGGTCGGTCTCTTTTCTCAAGTCACAGGCGACAGGACGAGAGGAAATGGCCTCAAGTTGCGCCAGGGGAGGTTCAGGCTGGATATTAGGAAAAAGTTTTTCACTGAAAGGGTTCTCAGCCATTGGAATGGGCTGCCCAGGGAGGTGGTTGAGGCACCATCCCTGGAGGTGTTCAAAAGACGGGTTGATGTAGTGCTGGGAGGTATGGTTTAGTGATGATGCTCCTTGTTTGTTGTGTGGGTGTCTATTTTTGTCAGTTAGGTTGATGGTTGGACAAGATGATCTTTAAGGTCCCTTCCAACCTAGAAGATTCTGTGATTCTGTAAATTTGCATCTTTTTAAACTTTTGGAAAACGCAAAAGCTGTGGTGCCCAACGATAAACGCAGGATTGTCTCGAAAGTATTGTAACCGTCCTCTTTTTGTCCTTTCGAAAGGAACTGGAAGACCTGAATAAGTGGGGTCTCAATATATTCAACGTTGCGAGGTATTCCCACAACAGGCCACTCACCTGCATCATGTATGCCATATTTCAGGTTTGTGATTTTTCTGGTGAAATCTGCTGTTCTTTCACAAGGCTGTTTGAATTTCTGACTGCCTTCTGCTGTGTCACCTTCTACGGTGTGCCATCCTTATCTCATGTACACGTGTGTGCTTGTGCCGTTTGTCACACAGGAGCGGGACCTGCTGAAAACATTCAAGATCTCCTCGGACACTTTTGTCACGTACATGATGACCCTGGAAGACCACTACCACTCGGATGTCGCTTACCACAACAGCCTCCACGCCGCTGACGTCGCCCAATCCACCCACGTCCTGCTCTCCACCCCTGCCTTGGATGTGAGTGACCTCGGTCAGGCCATCCTCACGTTTCAATGTGGGGTGGTGGCTTAAAAACACCACGTTCCCTACGTGAACGTGGGAAGGAAAACCCAATGTTGAGGTTTTTCGATCACCGGTAGCCTTCAGACTTGGAAAAAGCAGTGTGCTGCCTGCTCCTCTGAGGGCTCGTTTCACTGCCAGGGAAATCACCATTAAGGAATTTCAGCAGCAGCTTTGCCTGGAAGCTCTTTTTCATCTTAAAGAGCACATGCTGCTTGTAGACCTTTCTCCTCAGGAAAAACTCATTTAAAAGGCACAATTTGTTTCTCTAAATCAGCCTCTCAAACCGGTGAGAGATAAAGCATAAGGACTTTCCTGACAAATTCCCTTTTTTCCCTTCCTAGGCTGTCTTCACGGATTTGGAAATCCTTGCCGCGATTTTTGCAGCTGCAATTCATGATGTGGATCACCCCGGGGTCTCCAATCAATTTCTTATTAATACAAGTGAGTTGTGTTTCAAACACAATAATAACTTCATCTGCAAACTTGGAAGCTAATGGGAATGCATTTTCCATTACAGCGAGGTCACTAATTGTGACTTTCAGACTGCATTGCTTTCTCAAAATATTGTGCAGTAAACTAGTTAGAAGTTTTGAAATAAAGCAGTAATTAAAATGAAATTCCTAGCAAACAAAGCTATTGTAGTACAATTTGCGAAGCGCCCTCGAATCTTGTGACTGTTACTACTTGCTAACGTGTCATAATTCTTCCAGTCCTGGGTGCAAATTTTATCCTTAATATAAGATAAATAACGCTATTGCTCTTGACAACAATAAAGCTAAATATTGTGGTTCGTATTGTGTTCTGCAACAGGCTAAGCACGAATCTTGATTCCAAAATATGGGTATTGTTCTTTTTTGGAAAGCCTGTTTGCAGGATTCATGCTTTCTGTTGTCAGTGGTTCTGACGCCTGTAACTAAGTCAACCGAGTACTATTTTGTTCATTAGGATGGAGCAAAAGGCTGTTTATATTATATACATATGTGCTCGGATGAGAAAACCGCACGCTCTTGGCACGCGTGAAGCAAAAAGAAAAAAAAAGGAAACTTTTCCCGATTTATTGCATAGGGATGAACATTTCAGTACCCAGGACAAGCCTTTGCTGTTTGAAATAGCACATTTCACATGCTGGAGTCACATATTTGTGTTGCTTCGTTAGATTCTGAACTAGCCTTGATGTACAACGACGAATCTGTCTTGGAGAACCACCATCTTGCTGTGGGTTTCAAACTGCTTCAAGAGGAGCACTGCGACATCTTCCAGAACCTCACCAAGAAACAGCGTCAGACGCTCAGGAAGATGGTGATCGACATGGTATGAGCTGTTCACGTGCTGCTCCTCTTCTTAAACAAAAAAATGTGGCTTTTTTGTGTGCTTGCCCGTACTGAGACCCTATTTTCCTTTCTGTGAAGGTGTTGGCGACAGATATGTCCAAGCATATGAGCCTGTTAGCTGATCTGAAGACTATGGTGGAAACCAAGAAGGTGACCAGTTCAGGAGTTCTGCTTCTGGACAACTACACAGACAGAATACAGGTACGTCAGCCAAGCTTCCTGGATTTTGTGTGTTTTGAGCAGAATTGAAGAAATCGTGCTTCTCTTTCTACTGTGGCTTTTAAATGGACCATATAGAGAAGCTACTGACCCCGGGGTCAGTAAATTTTCAGCTATTGTTTTCTTCTGTTCTGCACCACAAAGAGGTGCAAGGTGATCCCATATGTTTTAGGTAAAGGGAATTATAGTTTTAAAACGTAAAGCACAGAACAGCAAACACGCACATTCTTCTGAAGTTGATCTCAAAGGCTGAGGTTTTGGGGGCTCCCAAATTTCCTTGCTGCCTTTTTCCCATTTGTTTCTCCTGTCGAAGAAGCATAGCAAGATGGCTATGGCACAGCAAGAATTTAATTTGTAGCTCCACACCTTGAGCAACTGAGCTGAAATTAGTGGTGTACAGTCTGTTCCCTATATAACCTAATCCTCAACTTACAGCAATGACAAAGCAGTGCTGGAGCAGGGTTACGTAGCCAGCAGGACAAAATACATCCTGATCTTCTCTCCCCTTTGATGGCCAACTTCTTAATAACAGACCCATGGGGAAACTCTCCTTACCTTTATTTATTTTTTTTTTTAATTTAAGACTGCTGATGTTAAAACAGGTCACTCTGTTGCCATCTAAACCCTTGTGGCCACGGTTAGTCAGGCACATTTTTTGCATGTGTGTGGAAGGGATATTACTCATTTAGTAAAGCAGGAACATTTAAACCACGTGAGAGCGTGGAAGTAAGTTTTGAATGGCGGGAAGCACCTGCATTCAAACCCAAACCTGCCTGATGTCATGACTATTGCCACAACTGCACCCTGTGTTCAGTATGGAGTTGTCTGAAAAACAGAGAGCACGTCTTATTTTTGAGGCCGTAGCAGCTCGTCTTCTATACGGAGATGTTTCGATGTTAATAACTTTTATAGGCTGTTGCATAATCGAAGAGTCTTGTGGTTAAATGTTCTGAATTAAGCAAGCAGATACAGCTTGAAACCGTCCCTCTTTTTCCATTTGATTTTTTTTTTTTTATGAGTTTTCTGATGAATGTAATTGCAGGTTCTCCGAAACATGGTACATTGTGCAGACTTGAGTAATCCCACAAAGTCTCTGGAGCTGTACCGGCAGTGGACGGACAGGATCATGGAGGAGTTCTTCCAGCAGGGAGACAAAGAGCGAGAGAGAGGAATGGAAATCAGCCCCATGTGCGACAAACACACAGCCTCAGTGGAAAAATCACAGGTAATTGGCCACAAGCTGCATTTTTTTTGTACTGCCTGAGCTCTTATTTTTTTAAAGCGGAGACAAAATTCATCTGCTTTCTCTAGCACAATTAGGCAAACAGCCAGCTGTTCAGAGGGTTGGTTCTGATTGACCCTGACATCCAGCTGTGCCTGAAGCTCATATAGATTGGCCAGGCTGTCCAGAGTCCTTTATGTGCCCCTTGGCATCTCCTCGTTTCCAAACACGTGATCATCTTGCCCTCTTTGTGTCCCAGTTTCCAGAGCGTGTTGGTTCCCCGGGCTTGAAAAGAGCAATTCTGATCTCCCTTCCTTCTGCCAGGCCTCTTCTGCCTTCACACCCCTTTAATTAGCACCTCCTCATGTCAGACCCCACGTTAGGCCCTTATAGCAGTGCCAGCCCCGTTATACTGCAGGGAGAGGAGCTGGGATCCACTCAGGACACAGGGAAAGTCTGGATGTTGGTCATTAGTGAGCCTCATGCAGGGCCGTTAAGTCAGAGGCCTGATGGAGCTGCCGGGTGAAGCCAAAGAAATATTTATTTATGTCAGTGCAACCCTTAAAAGGAGCTGGGTATGGCTTGTTTTTTTGAGATGAACTGGCTCATCCCTCGTTCTGATTCACGGATTAAACGGTTTCGAGGTCAGATTTTGTTCTGACCTGTGTGGCACAGGCTGTAAAATCTCACCCGGTTGGTCTCTAACGAAGCCGGTAATTTATGTTTGCCTAAACCTATTCCAGTCTTTATATAATGGTGTCTTGGTTGTTGTTTTTTAAATGACTCGAGCAAGTCATCATCGAGGTTTTTCAGCTTGAATAAGTAACAAAATTGATGATAATTATTTCCAAATGTCCTCTTGGGCTAAGCCAAGTGGTTTCAAAATTATTCACTCAACCGCATGGTGATTTTGTTGGAAAAATCTGTCTTATTTGTTAACCTAACAAGAAATGAATCCTTCAGCCAGGCTTGGCCAGAGAATGCCCATGTGCTCCGCATGTGAGCTCCAATTAATTTTTTTTGTTTCACGTATGCACTTCTCAGAGGTTGCAAAATGGCATTTTTGCTATGGAAAAAGAGCAGGAATCGCACAAAATGGCTACCATTGAAATCCCAACTGGTGGCAAAGGAGAAAGGGAGGTGACATCCCCCTTTTGGGGTGAAACAAGGAACAAATATGCAAGTATTTCAAAGCTTGAGCCTTTTGGGTGGCGGCGAAGCCATCAGCGAACCGTACAGATTTTTGGTTTTTTTTTTTTTAATTTTTTTTTTTTCACTTTAAAAGTGCTCCGGAACATGTGCTGCAGGAAATTTTCATCACCTTTTTTGTTTAAGCTGCCTCAACAGTACGTTACAATTGAACGTTAATGGTTCTATTGACATCCTGTTGTGTCTGAAGGAGGCGCGTGTGATTTCCAAAGCAAACATCTGCACGCTGAGCCTGGCCCCTCTGAGGGCCATTTTCCTGCTGCACAGAAACGTTGTCCAGCGGAGCGAGAAGCGACACGTTCTGCCAAGACGGAAGAATTTCAATCCTCTTTATGGCCATTCAGTTTTCTCCATCCTGGACGTACGTCCTCTTAGTCAGACAATTGAAAAACCGTTTAGCTCAGAGCTTACGCGCCGGCCGGCGGAAGGACTGACGGACTCGGCCACAGCCCTCACTCTTTCCACCCATGGCACGTCACTCCAGGGGGGTCGGGCTGCCTTCATGCGGCAGGAGGACTTCTTGGGATGAGCCAACCTGCTTTCTGCAGGTCCAAAAGGGCAGGAAAGGAAAGTTCTACCAGCGCCAGCCCCACAGAGAAACAGGGTGGCTGCTTTGGCGGAGTAGAATCATAATTTTTTTTTTAAGTTCAGGTTGGAAGAGACCCTTGGGATCATCGAGTCCAACCATCAACCCTACTCTACATAGTCCTCCCCTACACCATGTCCCTCAGTAGAGAAGAGTAGAGAAGAAAGGCTGAAATGCTTAAAGGTGCAGCACCACAAAACAGTGCAGAATAGGGACAAACTACACCCCATGGTAAAATACACCTAAAGGTCAAACTTCACTGCACACAAGCAGTGACATTTGGTGTTAGGACAGCTGCTCGTCCTGGGAGCACTGATGTTTTCACAGCCCCGAGCCGTGAATGGCCCCAGGGAGACCTTCCAGCCATTTCCAGTCCCTCAAGGGGCTCCAGGAAAGCTGGGGAGGGACCCGGATCGAGGAGGGGGAAGGGTTGGACGCTGAAAGAGGGGAGATGGAGCTGAGCTGTGGGGAAGAACTTGTTTGGTGGGAGGGTGGGGAGAGCCTGGCCCAGGTTGGCCAGAGAAGCTGTGGCTGCCCCATCCCTGGAGGGGTTCAAGGGCAGGTTGGAGGGGGCTTGGAGCAACCTGGTGTGGTGGGAGGTGTCCCTGCCCAGGGCCTGGGGTAGCACTGGGGGGGCTTTGAGGTCCCTTCCCACTCAAACCATTCTATGAATCTATAATTCTAAATCAAGGCAATCCCATGTGCCTGGTGGTGGGCCCCCATACCACATACCTACCACAGGTACCTCTAGAGAGGCATCCACCAGCACCTTCCAAAGGGGACTGGATAATCTTTAAAGTCCCTTCCAACCCAAACCATTTTATCAATCTGCGCATACCCTGAGGTAACATCAGAGCTGCCATAAATGCACTAACCTTGTCCACAGTCACCAAGGAATCCCATCAGAGAGACAGCAGACTTTCTCTGTGCTTAAGGTAGAGGCAAGGATTGTCTAAAATGCCTCTTTCAACCAGCAGCTGGTAAGAGGCATCCCTCAGTGGGATGTTCTGTCTTTGGCTTGCCCTGACTTCTGCAGGGCAGGGGATGAGCCAGTAGTCACTAAGAGACATCTACAGGGATTTTTGATGTCACACTTGTAAGCAGGGGTGGGATTGGCAGCTCCGTTGCTAAGTTTCCCAGTGGCTCCTGCTTTTAGTTAAAGTTTCAACGAGGTTTGATTTTGGACGAGATGTCAAGCTAGTCCAACGCTGTAGGTGCAGCTCTGGGTATAGAATCATAGAATGGTTTGGGTTGGAAGGGACCTCAAAGATCATCGAGTTCCAACCCCCCTGCCCTGGGCAGGGACACCTCCCACCAGACCAGGTTGCTCAAAGCCCCATCCAGCCTGGCCTTGAACCCCTCCAGGGATGGGGCAGCCACAGCTTCTCTGGGCAACCTGTTCCAGTGTCTCACCACCCTCATAGTAAAAAATTTCTTTCTGTTATCTAATCTGAATCTTTTTTCTTCCAATTTAAAACCGTTTCCCCTTGTCCTATCACTACCCTTCCTGGCAAAGAGTCCCTCCCCAGCTCTTCTATAGGCCCCCTTCAGGTATTGAAAGGCCGCTATAAGGTCTCCCTGGAGCCTTCTCTTCTCCAGGCTGAAATCGGATGGTTATGTCTGAAACTGGACTCTGCTGGTTTGGAGACTTGTTCTAGGGCGGGTATTTTGCTTGTAAAAGTCATGTATTTGCAGTATTTGAGCTTTTTAGACACCCATCTGTTCCCTTGCCCTAAGTGTGCGTGTTCCTGTCTTTCTCAGGTGGGATTCATTGACTACATCGTCCATCCTCTCTGGGAGACGTGGGCTGACCTGGTGCAGCCCGACGCCCAGGACATCCTGGACACGCTGGAGGACAACAGGAACTGGTACCAGAGCATGATACCTCAGAGCCCTTCTCCTCCTCTGGAGGAGCGGGGCAGGGACTGTCAGAACCTGATGGAGAAGTTCCAGTTCGAACTGACGCTGGAGGAGGAGGATTCGGATGGACCGGAGAAGGAGGGCGAGAGCATCGCCTACTTCAGCAATACAAAGACACTCTGCGTGGCTGACCCAGGGGAGGAGGATTCACAGCAGGAAGCCAACATAGAGATTGTGACAGAAGACACGTCCCCCGTGGACACATAATGCCCCCCGCAGCCGCGTGAGTGGATTTTACACACTTAAGGAGGGTGCAAGCAGTCTGACGGACTCGCCTGCAGCCTGGGGTCTGAGGCCTGTGTCCCACACCGGCCCAAAGATCCTCCCAGCTACTTGAGATTGGAGTCAGGGTTAAAGATCGTGTAGGGAATGATTGCTCAGGAAATTAACAGGTGATTTAACGTTGTGGTTTGTTAAGCCTCGTCACCACGAGAGCGTGGTGGTGTCCTGGAGCTGGCTTGGGTCGTGACTGAAGAGTAAACGACACACAACTGAGAGATTTTTATACTGTTAGTTTTTGGAATTTATACCAGTTAGACTGATAGAAACTACTGATTAATAACTCTCCATAGAAAAACCTGTCCACCCGACCACCTGTCTGCAGACCTGTGTGCCTTCTTTGTAAACACTTTCATGTCTTTTCAAGAGTCTATTAATTAAATACACGGAGTTTAGTATAAAAAAAAGCGACGCGGAGTGTTTGGAAATTGACGGATACTTTTTTGATTCTTCCTGTTACAAGAGCAGTCTTCCTTTTTTTCCATGGGCAATACCTGTCACTTTATTGCAGTTTAATGGCTTTTACAGACTTAAATGGAAGGGAAACCCTCTGTTTTGCATTACTGCACCTTTAATCGTCTTCTTGATACCCCTGGGGTGACCCCTTTAGAGTCACTCCGTGCATCATCTCTGTTCGCTTGCTAGGAATAACAGTATTTTTTATTATTTTTTTTTGCCTCGACGGGGTTTGATTTCTGTCGTGCGCAGGACAGAGGGTGGTTTGTTTCCATGGCACGTGGAAGTAAGAAGGAAGCGTGATAAGGCAGCGTGTGACACGCGTGTGTGTGTGTGTGTGTCCCCTTGGCAGCTCCTTGGCTCGGTGGAAGTTGCACGCTCAGATATTTGTGTTTCTCTTGCCTATTTGGTCACGTTTTTTCCTAGGTTTAGGTCCACCGTCCTCCTCCTGCACTGCCTTGAGCTCTAACACCTCCATTACTGTTTATAACAGTGTATTTATTACGTAATGTATATACTGTAATGTTTTGTAAGTTATTAATTTATATGAATTAACATTGCCTGTCGGCGGCGATGTTAATTGTGTAGAAAACTCGGAATAAGAGTTGCCTTTTTTTTTTTTTTCTTTGTTTTGTTTTTTTTTTCTTGTAACCTTTTGTATTGCATAAAATACAAGAACCTGAACATGGCTGAAGAGACAGACGCAACCCAGGAGGGGCATTAAAACTCGGAAAAAGAGTTGCCTTTTTTTTTTTTTTCTTTGTTTTGTTTTTTTTTTCTTGTAACCTTTTGTATTGCATAAAATACAAGAACCTGAACATGGCTGAAGAGACAGACGCAACCCAGGAGGGGCATTTGGGTGGCAGCCACCCACGGGGGGGCTCGTCTTTGTGGTGAGCAGGGAAGGGGGGACACAAAGACCCCCCAGGCAGCGGGTGAGCACTTAGAAGTGCTGAAAAACTAGAATGGGAGGGGGGGGAACCTGAAAAAAAAAAAAACAACCTAAAATCAGACCTCCCCCGCGAACCGGGCCGGCTTTTTCAACGTCCCGTTCCAATTTCCGAACAACCCAATGTGAATTTCTATGAGAAAAAGGAAAAAAAAAAAACCACAACCCCAATGTGAACTGATGTAATAATTGTGCTGTGAAACTTCTTCTGACAAAGCTTGTCCGGCATCGTGAGCGGTGTCAATCTCACTTTGTAAAATAACCTTTTCAAGCTTTTTCTGGTCCAACTCGTGACTTAACTAGTTAATGGACAAACTAGCACAGCTGTGCATGATCAATGGGTTTGTATGTCTGTTGAACACCGCGCTGTTCCAGGTGGTTATTTTATTGTTTCCAAAAGTTTCACACGATGTATGTTATAGTATTATATATTGTGTTCAGATGCATTCTTAAGAGATTTTTATATGAAGTGAATAAATGAAAAGCATGACCCTGCCCCCAGGCTCCTGGTGCTGCTTTCTTGTTGGGTTGATGGTGGGACTAGATGATCTTTAAGGTTCCTTCCAACCTAGATGATTCTGTGATGATTCCTTTTCCCCCCACAGGTGGGGACAAGGTGGCTGGGACCCGGCCGAGCCAAACCCAGCCCATGGGACCGGCTGGGCCTATCTCTTGGGGTGGGGAAGAGAAAGGTTTGCTGTGGCTGGAGGACACGGCTGTCCTCTCCATGGCTGGCTGTGAGACCTTGGCCTTCCTGAGCGGGGCCGGTGGCGGTGGCAGCGGCGACAGGAAGGCGGTGCAGACAGGAAGGCGATGGCCGCAGCGCAGCGGCCTTTGCCTGGCGCGGGGCGGCACCGGGGGCGGCTGGCGGGATGCTTTCATGTCCCGGCCTGACCCAAAACAACTGACTTTCCAGTAAAAAAAACATCCTGCCGGCCGGCGAGGGCTTGGCGGGGGGATGGTGGGGACCCTGCACCACCAGGAGCGATGCCAGGGCAACTGGTGGTACCCGGAGGAGACTCGCCATCTCACCTCCATGGAAGTGTCTCCACTCCAGGTGGAAGGGGGCTCCAAGCTTGGCTGACCCTGTGCTGCTTCCAGTCCCTCCAGGGGCTCCAGGAAAGCTGGGGAGGGACTCTGGATGAGGGAGGGGAGCCCTAGGAGGAGGGGGAAGGGTTGGACCCTGCAAGAGGGGAGATGGAGCTGAGCTGTGGGGAAGAACTTGTTTGGTGGGAGGGTGGTGAGAGCCTGGCCCAGGTTGGCCAGAGAAGCTGTGGCTGCCCCATCCCTGGAGGGGTTCAAGGGCAGGTTGGAGGGGGCTTGGAGCAACCTGGTGTGGTGGGAGGTGTCCCTGCCCAGGGCAGGGGGTGGCACTGGGGGGGCTTTGAGGTCCCTTCCCACCCAAACCACTCTGTGATTGGCAGCAGCCAGCGGGGCTGGATGTGGGGACAGCCCTGTGCCCCCCAGCCCCACCACCCCCGGGGTGTTCCCCCAAGCACCTGGCCAGGGTTTTAACCACTGGTTTCTCTTTTCCAGTGAATTCACCCTGTGCATGGTGTACGTGCGCCGTTGGTGGCGTCGGGCTGTCCCCAAGGCCCCTGGGGACGCGCAAAAATGGGGAAAAGGGGCTGGAAAAACCTCTGGGTGGAGAAAGCGGGGGATCGGGGCAGAGAGCAAAGAGCTGAAGTTGCAGGTGAACCCCCAACCCGGGGCTCACAGAGGGGCTGGGGGGACGCTCCACCAGCAGCTCCCTTGCAAACCCCCATCCCTCCCGTTTTTTTTCCTTCCATTTTTTTTGGGGGGGTGGGGAATCCCAGTGCAGGTGTGGGGTGGTTTCCCAACTTCCTTTTCCTCTTTTCCTCAAGGGACGAGGAGGTGTCTTGGCTCTGCTTTCACCATCCCCCCCCTCCAAAGCTCCCCCCGACCCCCAGCACCCCCAGGGGTTTGTGGTTTCCTTCAGCATCGGAAGCGCGTCCACGTGCTTCCTCCTCGCTCGTTAGCGGCCCGGATGGAGGGTGCTGATGGGTCCCTGGTGGCCCCCCCATGGGTGCAGCCCTGCGAACCCCCAGCAGATGCTGGCTGCACCCCGAGGGGCTGGGGCTGGCCGCTGCCCGGGTGCTGGGGAGGGGAAAACAGGGTGAAAAATGAAACCTGCAGCAAAACGGGGTGCAGAAAATGTGCTTTGCCAAAGAGCGGGGGTGGCTCCCAGGTCTGCAACTGGGGCAACCAGCTGTGCAAGCAGGGGATGCAGATGTGCCACTGGGGTTTTGCTGTGTGGGCTCACCAGGGTTGGGTCCAGGAGGGGACGGGGCTGGGACACGTGTAGGGTCAATGGAGCAGGACCCCAGCCCAACCACAGGGAGCGGGGACCTCCACCCTCGGGGAGCACGCGCTGTCCCCTCCCAGCTGCCAGCACCGTGATGGATGTCACCAAAAGTCACCCTGACTTCAGCAGTGCCGTCCTCGAGGACATAGTTTCCCGCTGAGGCCACGGAGCTGGAGTTTCAGGGGGGATTTCCACGGCGGGCATCGATCCTGGGGATGAGCGGGGCCGGTGCTTCCCGGCAGCGCAGGGACAAGGGTCCCCACCGAGCCCCAGCCGCTGCCAGGAAACTTCTGACCCCGGGGTCGGCGTTGTTCATAGAAACCATGATGCAAAGAAATAAAATAATAAACCAGCTCTGATGCTTTTTCCCATGGCGCACAGGCGCTGGGCCTGCTCTCCTGGCTGTGGGGCTGGTTTTCCATGGTTTTTCCCCCCCTACTCCATAGGAGTTTGTGATCCATGGCACGATGCGGCCACCAGCAGTCCCTGCCATGGCCTGAGCCACTCGTGGTGTTCTCCACCAGTGAAGAGCCTTGAAGAAATCTTGGGTTTCTTCCAAGGAAGTGCTTCAAGAATGTGGATTTCTCATCTGAGTAATGACAGGCAGAGGCAGCTTTGTGCTGGCATTTGGGGGTGTCCCATGCCCCTCACTGCAGGCCTGGCTGGGGACAAGGACACGTGTCCCACCAGGTGCCAAACATCAGGATGGCTGAAGCCACAGAAATCGCCTCCGGTTTTTCTAAGTAGCAAAACCAGCTCCAGAAACGTGCTTTTATTGCAACGGGTGCTGGGGGCCTGGGAGCTTCTGCTCGAGTTTTGCCCACACCAAGGTCTGCTTCTCGTCCACCACATTCAATGGGGGAGGCAGCAGGACAGGTTGGGGGTGACCTGCTGGAGAGCAGCTCTGAGGAGAAAGACCTGGGAATCCTGGTGGACAACAGGATGCCCATGAGCCCGCAATGTGCTCTGGTGGCCAAGAAGGCCAATGGCATCCTGGGGGGCATCAGGAAGAGTGTGGCCAGCAGGTGGAGGGAGGTCATCCTGCCCCTCTGCTCTGCCCTGGGGAGGCCCCAGCTGAAGCACTGGGTCCACTTCTGTGCTCCCCAGTTCCAGGAGGACAGGGAACTGCTGGAGAGGGGACAGCAGAGGGCTACAAAAATGATGAGGGGCCTGGAGCATCTCTCTTATGAGGAAAGGCTGAGGGACGTGGGTCTTTTTAGTCTGGAGAAGATCAGACTGAGGGGGGAACTGATCAACACCTGTAAATACTTAAAGGGTGGGTGTCAGGAGGATGGGGCCAGGCTTTTTTCAGTGGTGCCCAGGGACAGGACAAGAGGGAATGGGCACAAACTTGAACATAAGAAGTTCCATCTCAACATGAGGAGGAACTTCTTCACTTTGAGGGTGGCAGAGCCCTGGCAGAGGCTGCCCAGGGAGGTGGTGGAGTCTCCTTCTCTGGAGACATTCAAACCCACCTGGACACGTTCCTGTGCAACCTGCTCTGGATGGACCTGCTTTGGCAGGGGGTTGGAGGAGATGATCTCCAGAGGTCCCTTCCCACCCCATATCACTGTGATTCTGTGATGCCCCATGTCCCTGAGGCCACCACAGCCCCCTGTCCATTTGTGTGCCACCCAGCGGGATGGAGCATGTCCCAGGTTTACAGTCCAACCGTAAGGATTTGCAAAGGTTTTTCTTTCCAGCCAAGAAGATTTGAGCACCGCTGGCTTAGAGTTCACCTCAAAGTCCTACAGATTAAAAAAAAAAAAAAAAGAGATATGAAAATGTGAAGCACTGACAGTTTCTCAGTCAAAAACAGGAAGGAGCTGGGGGCTGGTGCACAAAGGGCAGATTTTATCGAGTCTGTGGTGCTGGAACGGAGCCCGAGGGCTCACGGCACCGGTAGCCTCCGTGCGAAGGGGGAGGTGGGTCTCCTGGTGGGGAAGTTGGCTGGGCTCCCAGCGCTGGCCAGGAAGGACAGGGCAGGTTGGGGCCCAGCTGATGCCATTTAAGATGCGTTGAGGTGTTTCAGCTCTCCCAAATATCTCTTTTCAGGTGAAACAAGGAGCCCGTTCCCAAGAGCTCCCATCCCCCAAGTTCTCCCTGTGCCCAAGGTCTCCCCGTGCCCAAGGTGTCCCCATCCCTGAGGGCATCCCCATCCCTAAGGGGATCCCCATCCCTGAGGACATCCTCATCCCTGCTCTCGCAGAGCTATTTCTGGTCTGTTGGAGGGTATTCCTGCCATCCTGCTCAGATGCCATCACCGCTCCTGTCATTGCAGCCCTGTGGGAGGGTGGGGACAGCAAAGCTCTGGTCCTCGTGGGGTCTGCCCCTGTTGTGGGGGCAGGAGGGGCTCTGCAGCCCCCTTACCTGCCTTTGCTCACGGCAGCCCAGC